GAAAGAGTTAAAAGTTGCTACATGTTTAATTGAACTGGACATATTTTTTCCTGAACGTATGTCCTGCTTTTTGAACCCCTATCTCTCACAATAACAGTTGAATTATAATATTCTTTTGTTCTTGAGCCCGTTTTTACTTAGTTTACGGGTTTTTTACAATTTAAAGTAAAAATAAAATGCAAAAGCAGTATATAATGGTCATTGTTAATGCACTAGATGTATTTAACACTTCATTTCTTTTTTCATGACAGCCAGAACAACTCAGGATGAGCAAAACCAATGATTTTGACATTCAAAGTCCATGTAAGTAAGGTTTTTATTAAATAGTTATAGAAAGCTTTCATCTGCATGTACAATACCAATTATAACTCGCTTTATTTGGACTCAAAGAACAGGTGGATTTTCAGTAATCAAATTGTGTTGGAGCCACTTGTTTCAGGGAATGAAAAAGAAATAACTTTTAAACTTCCTTGGATTTGTTTGCTGTAATTGAAATATTTAAAAATAGTCTTTTCTGCAGATGTCTTAAGAAAGTAACCTTGCAATTCAGCTTCCAAATCACACACAGCTGTGTTTGAGATGTATCATTCAAGACTTTTAGGCTGAAACAACCTCTGTTCTCATCACTACTATGACTGTTCTTGATGTTAGAATATTGAAAATGTATCTGGTGTATCTATTGAGAACTGAAGGGAAGGTATTAAATGTCTGTGGAAGCATGTTAGTGGGCCAGGAGGTGCAGAAATGAGGAAATCGTCAAGCTTTTAGTTGACTCCAGTGTTTTCTCAAATTCTTGAATGTTTCGAAACTAGCATACGTTTTAAAAGCACTGGTAGCGTATGGCTTGATACAGTCAGGATACCATTCGTATGCTTTTTGGAAAGGTTCTCTCATAGGTATACAAAGAAACAGTGAAGTTGCTTCATGGATTCTAATACAGTGATGTCTTTACGTACAATACTAAAAACAATTAGATGACATATTTCTCATGCGTCTGGACATTGTTGGCCATTTGATAATTACCTTTGAGTGTTTGGAGAAGAACATTTCAGTTGGGAGTGCAATCAGCTTGTGAATTTAGCTTGGGTGATAGCCCTCTCCTGAATCAGCAGGCAGGTGGAAATGGTGAAGTATTTTCTTTTTAGGAACTAGAGAAGGAAAAAATAGTACTCTCTCCTGTATTTACTGGAATTTGACATTAAGGAGAAAGGTTTATCTACTGTCCTTTATCCAGTAGTCATCTTCAAGATGCATGAGATGAAAGTTACTGCTCTACAGCTGATCCATAGTCATTCCAGTACGTTCACTGTGATTATAAATATGAATCTGTATTTCAGTCTGTGTTCTCTGTGGACGGACAGATGACTGCCCTGAAAAGTATGGAGAAAAAAGGACCTATGTGGAATACAATCTCACTGTTCATTATTACTGTTTGGTAAGTATGTGGTATTGATCTTGGAGCCTGTCTGTTTTAACTGGGAAGAAAAAAAAAAAGTAAATGCCACAAGCATTAAATACTAATAACCTGTCCAAACAGTAGTTGTAACAGTTTTGTGGTTGTGAAGCTTGAATTGTCAGCTTTAACTTGTAGCCTTGAAGGCTTCTACTTGTCAGGTGCAGCAGATGAAAAAAATAAATCTCAACAAGCCTTTACTCAAAGCTTAAGTTCTGTTCATGATCCATTTAAATTAATTACGTAGTTCTCCCAAGCTTTCCTAGCAATGAAGGTACATGTTAAGAGAAAGGCAACAGATTGTACCTACATATTTGCTTCTATAAGAGAAGCGTAGTTTCAAAATTTGGAATGTGAAAAAGCCACTCCTCGTGGAAAAAGTAGAGAAAAGTTGCCTTCCCTTGTTTCTTATTAGTTCTTGTTTAACTGTAAGCTATTCTCTGACATTACATAGGGCATCGTAACACTTAATAAAATTAAAAGTAGGACTAACTATTTCTTAATATGTACCATACCAATCATATATAGCTACAGTATCACAATTTAGTAGAAGCTTAAAATTTGAACAAAGCTATGGATATAAGCTCTAGTTGGGTATCTTTTGTTATTACACATGATGTTTTCCAAGATTCATATTGCTAAAGGTGTACTTAAACTGCCTTTCTAACTTTGCAGGTCTTTAAAATAAGATGACTATTTAAAAAAAACCCACTTTTTTTGTTGTTTGTTAATAAATACAGTTTGACATTTTTTCCTAAGTTTAAAAAAAGTCTCAAGAACATCAGGAACAATTTGGTGTGTGTGTTTGTTTTCTCAACCAGTTCTTTAAATATTGTGTTGATAGCTTAACAGGTTGGATATTGAATCCTTTAAAGACTAGGCAGAGCGAAGGTTTCTGAAGTTACATAAAGATAGATTTTTCTTTTTTTTATTTTCTTCAGTAAATTTTAAGCAGCTGGAAGGAAATTTAGGTCTGTTCATGATAATTGTCTCATACCTAAGGCCATATGAAATGATAGGAAAAAAATCCTTTCCTGATGGAGCAATGCAGCTAGGAAAGGGCACGCTTGTAACACTGAGCCTTATGATTTATAAGATATTGTACTGTGTTAGGCTTCCTGCAGTCATCTTTTAGGTTTTGGTCCCTGCTTCTTTCAAACAAGCCCCTGTGATTTAATTAAATATAGTGAATATTATGTAAGAAGAGAGTTCTTCTAGAAAGAGGCCAGTTAGTGGTGCAGTTTCATTTTTCTTTGTCAAATGTCTCACATTTTGAAAAAATATATTCTTAATTGGTTTTGGTAAAAAATTTTACATTTATTTGACTGAAACATTGATAAAACTCTGTAATGGTGCTGTGCTGAAATTATAAAATGAGATTGTAAAGAATATAGGAGGCATCAAGTTGTGACACTTTAGTTATTTGAAATTTGTGATGTAACTGCCTTACTTAATAACTTAAATCTAAATTATCATCAGGCTCTTCTAACTTGCCTAGTTACTTGATTCTGTTTTTATTTAATTCTCCTCTGAAGTGAATTACTTTTCCTCTTAGGTTGCACTTCAGTACAGGTATTTCCTACTGTGCTTCATTATCTCCACAGCACAATTGTCATTCACATTAACTAAACTAATTTAATTTTACTTCCTCTGAAGCTTTATATACTGAAAGTAATTGTTTGATAATTACCTGAATAGTCTGTATGCTTCAAAAAGGAAGGTAAAATACACTGTCTTGGGCTCAGTATTACAGTATTACATAAGACTTGGATGTTATGAGATATTTATTTTTATGTTACTGGTTACTATTCCCCATTGTGTCATATCAGGCAAAAATGTATAGATGTTTTGGATCAGTTTTTTAATCATTAAAATGTTTGCACACAAGCTTTGTTAGACTTGTCAAATACAGTGTAGATAATTTAAAATCTTTAGGTAGGTGAATACTTTAATTTGTTTTTGTAGTTGATGTCAAGTGGCATTTGGCAGAGAGGGGAAGAAGATGAAGGTGTAGATGGATTCTTGATCACAGATATTAGAAAAGAAGTAAACAGAGCTGCAAAACTGGTAAGAATGAAGTCTTTGGTATGTACAAGAGGGAAAAAGAGTAACTTCTAAGTACACTTAGTATCGCCTGTGGAGTTTGTTTCGTTTTTCCAATGGGCAGTGTGCTGGGCCCATTCAGGCATCTGAATTTTACATTTAACAAGTATGTTGGCTTTGTGGAAGCCACAAGGGACAACGAAATGTGCAGAAGTTTGTTAATGTTTTTATTTCCTGGATATGTTGCGGAAAAATGAATAAGAGCAAATGACGCATGCATAATACCTCATGAGAGTATGCTGAGCTTCAAGCTGACATTATATAATTTTATAGATGCAACTAAACTATAGGTACTGGTAAAATAACTTGTATTTTGGCTTATGTGTCACAAGTCAACACGCACATAAAACAATACATAATTAAAGTGTGAAATAGATATGTATCTTTACTCTGTGAAACAGAGCTAAAACACAGTAGTCCTGTCACAGTTAGTCTATTGGCTGATATTCTTTTTTACACACTTTATAATTTTTCTGTTGGTTTAGTTCCTGTAGTTTCACTTGAAGTTTAGATGTTAATATTCTGTTATTTCTAAAACAAATTATTCCTAGAAATGTAATATCTGTAGGAAAAAAGGTGCATCGATTGGATGTGTAGCCCCCAAATGCAAACGAAGTTACCATTTTCCTTGTGGGTTACAAAAGGAATGTATTTTCCAGTTCATGGAAGACTTCAGGTAAGTTCTGGGGGTTTGTTGCTCTTTCATTTTCAATTCGTTATATTTATACAGCAGGTGATTCGTTTTTTCATGAGTTGTCATTGGATAGACTGTTAATTATAAATGACATCTGAGTTATTTAAGAAAAAATACCCAATTTGTGGAAAACATGAAGGCCAAGCAGCTATATTGCATACCTAGTACCTATAAACTAAATTCTTAACACTTTTAAAGATACGATTTAATGCTTCTACAAGTAGTTAAATTGAGTAATAATACTCAATAAAATTGAGTATTACATCCTAAAGTCTGAAATAAACTGTGAAACAGTTGGGTTCGTTTTTTCGTTTGTCTACCTCTTGTGTCTTTGAAATGGCAATAGTTTGGCTGCCTGTCACTCTCAGCAGTCAAAACACACTGTATACCATTCCATCGTCTTCCAAAGCACAAGGCTTCTTGATCTGCTTATTACAGATGGACTTCAGGAAAAATGGATTTAATATCAAATGTCTAAAAAAAAAAAAAGTTTTCTTTTACTATCATCTGTCCAGCATCTTGTCTGTAATCAAAATACTCTTGAGTGCATTTGATAACAACTTCATTCTGCCTACTGTGAGCTGAGTTTGTAGAGTGGGTGGATTGAAGTCTGGCAGGCATTTTAACTTCTTAAATAAATGACTCAGTCATGCACGTGTAAAAATGCCTTTTCAGAAAGGTTTCTTCTAGAGCTGTGTTTCTTGGCTGTCTTATTTCTTTGAAAATGTGCTAAATTATATATACAGAATCAATATATAAACTCAAAATTGCTCCTTTGATGTCAGGGTGATGTTGTAATATAGGAAGAACTTAGGGTTCTGAGGACAGGAAATGCATAATTCAGACCAAAAGAAGTTTTGCGAGAAAGTGGGTATATGATCTTTGTCATCTACAGAGCATCAGTGGGCAACATGCTTCTTCCTTACTAGTGTTCTATGGACTTGCTCTCTTAGATACATAACTTGTTTACATGTTGTGTTTTAACCCTGATCATCAGCAGAGCGCCACACAGCTGCTTGCTCACCACCGCAGTGTGATGGGGAGAGAATCAGAAGGGTAAACTGAGAAAACTTGTGGGTTGAAATAAAAACAGTTCAATAGATAAAGCAACAGCTGCATGTGCAAGCAAAGCAAAATAAGGAATTCATTTATTGCTTCGCATCAGCACGTAGTAGTGTTCAGCTATTTCCAGAAAAGCAGGGCTCCATCACGGTAACAGTTACTTGGGAAGACGAATGCCCTAACTCTGAACATCTCCCCTTCCTGTTTCTTTCCCCCAGTTTTATTGTTGAGTTTGCATCATGGTATGGAATATCCCTTTGGTCAGTTGGGATCAGCTGTCCCAGCTGTGTCCCCTCCTAACTTCTTGTGCACCCGCAGTCTACTCACTGGTGGGGCAAGATGAGAAACAGAAAAGGCCTTGAGCTTGTGTAAGCACTGCTCAGCAGTAACTAAAACATCCCTGTGTTATCAACACTGTTTTCATTACAAATTTGAAACATAGCACCATACAAGCTACTATGAAGAAAATGAACTCTATCCTAGCCAAAACCAGTATGTGTTGGCATTTTTAGCTTGTTGCACAGGATTTAATTACGAAAAACACATATAACAGGGAATTCATTTTGCTATTCTCAAATTTTATGAGGAAGGTTCTTAAAAATGTTGTTTTGAAAAGGGAATCTTAAATTATTATTTTTAGATCTTACTGTTGGGAACATAAACCAGTCCAAAAGTTTCCGGATAAAGAACCTAGAGGAACTTCACAGTGTACAATTTGCCTGGATTTGGTTGAACAACTTCCAATGTACGCTGTATTGAAAAGTCCTTGCTGTAAAAATGCTTGGTTTCATCGAGAATGTTTGCAGGTAACACAGGTTCTTCCTTTTTTCTCTTTGCATCCATGGAGGTCATGTTTCTGTTGTGTTAAAAAATAATGGAAGAGTTGCTTAAAATTGTGTAAAATTGCTTAGGGTTAATGTAGTCAGTAGGTTTGGTAGTCTGCTAAAACTGTGTTTTGGAGACTACTGTCTTACAAGAAAGTTTGTTGTTTTTTTTTTTTTTTAAAGCCAACAAAACCACTAAGAATTTCCCCTCCCCACGTTTAGTACCCTTCATACTTTTAGTTATTTTTAGGAACTGAAGTCCAACCTAGGTAGCTGCCTTCTTGCAAGTCATTATGTGCAGAAACTATATGCTAAAATTTTAATTTATCCATCATCAGATCTCTTTGCCTATGTCCAGAGCTGGAAAAAGGTATTAAGATTCTTTTTATAAACTCATTCTAGATCTGGAGAGGTTGACTGGAAAGGATTGTGCTTTTGTTTGAGTCTGATTCTAGCATGTGAACTCTCATCCTTTAAAGGAAGAGAAAATGCTTGCCATTTGCTTCACTGTCAAGTGACATCATGATTGATGTCAGCTGTTACATCCATGGCAGGACAGTATCCATGAATGTAATGGTTATAGGTATTAAGGCATTATTTATTCGCATCCTAAGGATGGTAGTAGTTCAATAATTGGTTTGGTTTTTTGTTGTGTTTTTTTTTTCTTGACACAGTATCAAGCTTTGAGTGCTGGGATATTTTTCTTTAGGTGCACAGTATGTAATAACAAGGACAAATTTCAGAAAGAAATGTTGAGAATGGGCATACACATTCCGGAAAAGTAAGTAATTTTGTAAATAATCACTCTTCTATAAAAAACTTAGGGTGTTAAAACCATTTTTTTATTTTTTCCGTAGAACTATCTATTAATATGTGAAACCTCAGTTTACCTTCAATGGTAGAATTGTTTGGTTTGGTAAGGAGTAGCCTGTTTCTTTTAGTTATGCATAAAAATTGTCAACAGCCAAATTCGTCATCTCAAACATAAAGCGGGAAGCTCCGAAAAGTCACTTTTAATGCCATGATTCAACCAGGGACCTATTTAAAAGATCAAAACACTTATTAAATACAATAATTTTGCTGCGAAGCGTATTTTCTGTGCCCAAGTTTTTAAATTATCTGAATTTCTGTCCAGGCAGTGTTATAATGGATTGATTACTCAGCCATACAGCTTCCATCTTTCTCCCAAAGCTTCTTTGTTAGAAGTGTTACTCTTTAATAACTATTAGTAGTCTTCAGAGATTACCATTAATTCACTCTGGACACAGAAGCTCAAGGTTTTGGAGAGGAAGAAGAGTCAAAATACTTGAACTTTGCTGTACTGGCCTGGAAAATTCCGAGTTACTTTTCACAAGACCATTTTCAGTGGTAACTTGAGTAGATTGCCGAAACAAATATCCGTGTTTGCTGTGAGAGAGAAAGCAGAATACTACAAACCAGAGCAAATATGCACTGAGATCATGTGAAAAATTTAAAACACTTCAAGTAACCAGGCACAAGAAGAGGTCTGTCTGTGTATTTTATAGTATTTTTGACTTTTTTCTTGGCTCTCTCAGTTGTCTAGCTGTTGCATAGGACATTACATGATATAATTACGGTTATTTTCTAAAGACAGAAGAACCCATTTAAACAACTGGAAATACAGTTGTAATAACAGATCTTCTGCCTCATTGATAGGGATGCATCTTGGGAACTTGAAGAGAATGCATATCAAGACCTACTGCAATGTTATCAGCACTGTGATGTTGAAAGCTGTCTCTGCAAGAAAGGAAGAGACTATAGTGAACCTGATAGGTATGACACTTTTGCAGGAAGGTATAACCTAGGTTGGAATAGTTCTTTAAAGGGTGTTTTATTTTTCTTATTTAAATGCTATAATACTTTTCAGCATCAGGTTTTAATGTCAAGTCAAGACACTGTGTCCAAATCAAATGTTTGTTTTACTTATTATAATATTTAAATACTAATTTTCTCTAATTCAGTCAGGTTATAAAATCCAAGGAAACCAAACCAACAGATTATCAGTTACCTTATCTTTGTTCTTATTTGATACAGAGCTGAAGTGGAATTCGTACATCCACTTAACATGTAGAATAGCATGTGCCTAAACTAATGTTGTGTATCTTTCATTCAAAGCTTAATTCAACAATTTAATAATTGTTAGAACACTTAATACCTTTACAAGAAATTCATTAAAGTACTAGACTTAGCTGAAAATTAACTAGCTGTGTAAAACCAATCTAAAATCAATCTAGGTGCGAGCTATCCCTCTGCATGCAAATGGCAGCTAGAATATTGCTGATGCTTAATGAGAGGCTTGATTTTTGATTAAGTAGTTGATTTTCTGCATTCTCTCTTGTTTTATTTGTGTGCTTCTGAAATGTGTATCTTCCATTGGCATGAGTACACTCAAAGCTGTCAGAGCCTCTGCTTTGAAGCCTTGTTTCTGTAGTACTGTGGTAGGTTACTGCTTGTAGACATTAACTTTGCCTTGTACAGAGTTGACCAAACATTGCTTGTTTCATTCATGGTATGTGTGCACCTCAGGATTTACTTTGCCTTTAAGAGTTGTACCTTAGGCTTCCAATATTTGAACTAATATCAATCACATTGTTCCATTGTATGTTTAAGCAAAATTGCAGAAATCTAGACAAAAACCTAGCAGATACTCAAACACTGTCATTCATGAAGAACCTTACTCAGAATGTGTAAGAATAATCAGATACACTCCTTTAAAAAAATTACCATTTGGAAAAGCTGAATGGTGGATACCCATAAAATACAGAGAATGTTGCTGGCTAGCAACATGAGGAGAAAAGATTGGCTGCAGGCTATTGACTTCAAGGCAGAGGAGCACTCTTTCAGTACAAGGTGCTGCGACATGGGTAGCTTTTTTTCTCCTTGTCACAGTTGGGAATTGTAAGTACATCTTGTCTGAAGAAAGTTCCCCTTGATTATACACAATCCTACCAGATTGATAAAATTATGCTTTGTTAGTTGAGTGTCTGGATTACGCTTAATGTTGAATATTCTTAAATTTTAACTAGCTTCATTCTTCTGTCTAATTCCAAATACATGAATTTTCAATTTTAGTAAATGGGAAATAAAGCGTTGTCAGTGTTGTGGTTCCCGTGGAACTCATTTAGCCTGTTCATCTATGAAGTCATGGGAGCAAAACTGGGAGTGTATGGAATGCAGAAGTATCTTTGCAAAATCAGGTAACGTTATGGATATGACAGTGACTTCTTACAATGATAAATTTTAATACTATGTATTTTACAGATGGCAGATTCACTAAATCAATATAATTTAATCATACAGGGAACTATAGTAAACAGAAAAAGCGTTCTCTGGCTACCTCTGAAAAGACAGATGGGACAACTTGTTTGCTGGAAGAGCCATCTCCAAAGTGCCCTCGGCAGTCACCTGGATCTCAACGCAGTTTTCTTCTCCAGTGTGTAACTTGATGTTTTCAAGCAGATACTGATTATAACATAAAATAGTATTTAAACATAAGGAGCTAATGGCTTATTCTGTAGGAGAAACTTCTCACACTAAATTGCAAATTGAATAAAATTGGAGTAAAGTTTAGTGATTGAAGCTTTCTGATTAAGCTGTGAACTCTGTAAAGTTATTCACATTCAGTGGCATGTAAACCAGTGTTTAGTTTGATGAAATTAGGTCCTTGTAAAAGGAGTCTTAACAATTTAGAGGTAACTTCGAATGTACAAATGGCAAAACTTAAAGCCAGTGTTGCTTATCAGTATTTTTTTCCATGTTAATAGTGTGCTAGAAATCTATTTTAGGGATGTTTATATGATAATGTTTTCCTCCGCTGTAACAGAAACTTTTCAAGTCTGTAGAACCTCGTATTTTTAGTTTTTACGTATTGTATCAGTCAGGACTTCGATCTCGTGTATGGCATGCAGTGAACAAGGGATCCTAAAACCACCACATAACAAAATACTGAATTATTATTTTTAAAATTGTAGTTCAGGCACTGATGGACTTAATGTAAATGAACATACAAATGAGATTCAGCACTGAAACAGGGAAATCATATTGCTACCTTCAAATAAGTGTTTATGCATTATTCAATTGTATCTCTTAAAATCCTGTTTTGGCTTATAGGTCACCAAAGATAATGTGCCAGAACAACTTGTCACACTGCTCACATCTAGAACTTCCATCATCTGACCGAGTGACGATGTCCTTGTCTCCACTGATGTCAAACAGGAACGAATCTCTGAGGAAAAAGTATTTTCTTCTATTTTTCTTATGTAGAAGAGTAATCTACCACGTGGCTTTATACCATATTTCCTACAGAACATGGGAGAGTGTGTGTCTATATGTTTATAGTGGCTATATATATTTGTGTATGTGCATATGTAGTCACAGGAAAAATGGAATGAGTACACTGAAAAGCTGAAGTCATAACTTGATGAAGTCTTCTGCTGTTCCTAAATGCTAGAGGAGGGTGAGGAGAAAAGAATGATAACCTATTGAGAGTTTTTAGGTTAGGTGGTGAGTGGATCAAAACCCAGAAATGCATATTTGTCCTTACCAAAGCATGGCTAGCCATTCTTTAGAAAAGGGAATAAAAAGAATCCTAATTACTTTCTTTGAATTAGACATGTCCTGAGTTGCCAATGTTTTTGCATTTGTACCATAGGAATAGTTCGTGATTATGCTAAAATCAGTGGTAAAATAACATGTTTTAATATAGAATATTCAGTTTAAGGATACAAAATTCTTTGTCTTGTTGTGAGTACTTAATGTATGAATTCTACCTGTAGTATGTGCTAAAAATTCTGATGAAGGAATTAATTCCTTCTAGTAGGTAGGGTATTTGAAACAGTTTTGGTTGCAAGTTATAAAACAGAGAGGCAGTCTTATTTAGACTGGTCTTTTTTAAAAGGAGAACTGCAACGTTTCGCCATACTCAAAGGTATTTTTGATTATAGTGACAAAGATTAAGTATTAGCAAATAGTTGACAGTGTTTTCTAATTTGGTTGCAAAACATCTCTTTAACACAAACATGGTAAGCTCTTTTATTACCCACTTGTTTCACATTGTTCACATGTAGAGTGGTGGTGTGAGAAGTGTTTGGGACAATGTTGGTGTAACTGTATTAAGAAAATAACTATTCGTTCTAGTTCTCAGAGGTACTTTAAAATTTGCCACTACCAAGTTAAAATTTGAAGAATCTACACCAAGTATTTTACTAATATAATTTAGGCAATGCCTAAATGTACCAAAGTGTTTAAAGAGATGTTTTTCTTAATGGATTTTAGGATATTTCCTGTATAACTGTTGCTAATTATGAATCATAGATTTCATCTGAAAATACATGCAATTTTCTTGTAGGCTTTTAAGAAAGCAAAGAAGAGAAGTTTCTAATATACTGAAGGAGTTAAAGCTGCAAGTTAATACAAAAACGACAAGGCTTAACATCAATGCAAAAGATTTCTGGATCAGTGCTTTAAAAGGATTTAGGCAGCGCAACTTCAGTCCTACAAACACCATTGAAATAAACTTCACAAACTGCAAAAATAGATCAAAGACGCATACTTCTGCTGCATCAAAACGCCGTTTCTTCCAATTATTAATGCATCACCTTCAGAATTCATCATTGTTTGACAAGGGCTCTTCTGGAAAGAACTTGTCCCTTGATTTTCAAGGTAATTAAATGCTTTGTTCAAAAATACATTAAGAGCTATAACTTGAGAGGTTTTTAAATCTTCAGCCGGTGTGATTGTCAGTTCACAATTATAGTCCTGATGGATAGAAATTGGGGTTTTAATTTTTTTGCTTTTCAATTCTAAAGAGGGATGGGGGGTGTATTTGCAATAATAATAAAAAAAAATGTTTAGTTGGAAAAGTTGATGACAACCAAAGAAAAAAAAATACAGCATATAGTTAGACTTGGAACTGTATTTGTTCTCTACAAGTGAATTTCTTCCTGGCTCACTTTCTGTTACTTACTTTCCTTTCCTCAAATTTCTAGAATATGATCTCTGATACAGCATGCTCACTAAAGACCAAAGTTAGCTTCTTTGAGTTCTTAGGCTTCAGAATTAAATGTGCATTGGTACAAGGTGAAAGAGGAAGTTGTATCTCCTCCCAAACCTTGATAGTGGCTGAAGAGTTGGAGTAAAAGAATATGGTACTCCTATGTAAAAAATAGCAGTCTTATTGTTTCAACCAGCAGGAGATGGCAAACCTGACTTGCTGCATCTCCTAAAGTAAGAAGGAATTGCATTATGAGATTTTTCTATTAAAAATTGAGGATGAGAAATTATTTTTATACATCTATAGTAAATGTATTTTTTTCATTTGCAGCTGTAAAAGACAATCTTTATTTTGAAGCTGGTAAAATGATTGCAGTTTCTCTGGTTCACGGTGGCCCATCTCCTGGTTTCTTTTCCAAAACACTGTTTGATTGTCTTGTCTATGGTCCAGAGAATGTGAAGCCAGCCTTGGAAGATGTTGCTGATGTTGATGTAGCCAAAACAATAAAAATGGTAAGTAAAGCTAAACTTAGGGGCAAATTCTTGTTCAAGACTACATTTGGAGATAAAGAAGGGCTTATTGAATATAACTTTAGTTCAAATGAAAAAGCTTATTTTTTTAATATATGTACACATGCATGTAGTGAACTAATTCCTAACTCTTTATCTTCTGATACAGATAAAATATGCAAATAGTTTGTCCAGCCTACAGTCTACAATACGCAACTGTTATGAGTTCCTTGCTGCTGCTGGATGTTTAAGACCTGTAACAGCTTTGTGTGATAAGAATATGCTCGTGAATGACATACTGATCTATCATGTAATCAAGAGAATTATTTCACCCTTAGAAAGGTTTGTTTTGTTTGAGTTTTCAAACTTCCTAGATTTCTTCCTCACTGCGATATTCAGTAATATATTGCTAAAGCTGACTTTCACATGTTCTTACCTATTCTCCATTTAAACCAATGAAATGTATCGTAATTTTCAGTGGATTAAGTACCAACTGTTAACTAGTTAAACTGAAAGACTGAATTATTTCTCTACCTATCCACTCCATTCTAATTCTCCTTGTTCACATTCCTTTTTCAACCTTAGGAAGAGGGCAGATTCACAGTCGTAAACTATATCATGACAAAGACCTTTGACCTACAAAATTTCTCTGGCTTATCTTTGTTTTTATATATTCAAGCAATTCTGAACTAATCTTTAAATTTTAGAAGTTTAGAATATGTTTAGAATTTGAATGAATTTTCCAGAGTTCTAATTAGGGAGCTTGTGTGTGCAATTAGGAGGGTGATAACGTGTGCAAATGCAAGTTGGCCTACTTAGAATGTAAGCATTCCGCTGGTGTTTCCATGAGGTAGTGATGACTTCAAATAGCTGGGAAAGTTGAAGCCATTAGCTATTTTTTGATTTTCTGACCTTCCATTTTGTGTTCTTCATCTCCTCAGTAAAAAGGAGTCATGTTATCTTTGACAAATTTGAATCAACTGTATCTCCAAGAGCTATAAAAAACTGATTTTTGAATGTGAGGATTCTTTTGTCAAAGTTGAGAGTAATTAGTCTTTCAGTCGAGACCCACTGTGGCATATTTGACCAACTTATATTTTAAAACTAGTCAGTTCAAAAGTGAAAGGTAATGAGTAGCCTGTTTGTTTATGGGAAAACATGATTTTGTGCGGTTTTGGAAATGGGCTTAAAATGTGCAAGAGTAGGACAAGAATTTGCTTCTCAGTATCAAGAACAGAGTAAGTAAGGAGTTAGTCACTTTAGCTGTTCATCTGCTACACTACTGACTGTACACTTTAAATGTGTTTATTCTGAATTTTAATGATTCAGCCTATTGATGTCTAAGAAATGATGAGTAAACAACTTAAGTAAAATTTTAATTCTGATTTAACATGGTGGTTAAATTGTAAAGCTGGCTGCTTGAAATATTCTTATCTGGTACAACGTAACTACTGAAATTTTTTCAACTTGCAGAGCTGTCTTTAAAAAAAAAAAACCCAAACATTTAGCTAAATCACAGAATCAGATTGGTCTGTAGATTGAAGGGGACTTCTGGAAGTCATCTTGTCCACCACCCTCTGCTTAAGCCAGGCCACCTAGAACTAGTTGCCCAGAACTCTGTCCAGACAGCTTTTCAGTATCTCCATGGACGGAGGCTCTACAAACTCTCAGGACAACCTATGCCAGTGCTCAGTCACCCTCACAGTAAAACAGTGTTTCTTGAGGTTCAGGTGGCACCTATCATGTTTCAGTTTGTGCCCATTGTCTCTGGTCGTCACTAGGCACTGCTGATTAACAGCCTGGGTCTGACTTGTTTGCACACTCCCTTCAAATTCTTCTACATGATGAGATTCCACCTGAGCCTTCTCCACACTGAACAGTCCTAGCGTTCTCGGTCCTTCCTCATAGGATTATGCTCCAGTCCCTTCATCATCCTAGTGGCCCTCTGCTGGGCTCTCCAATATGTCCATAACTTTCTTGTACTGGTGAGCCCAGAACTGGACACAGCACACAACCTCTTTGTCAGTGCTGAGCAGAGGGAAAGGATCACCTCCCTTGACCTGCTGGCACCGCAATTCCTCGTGCAGCCCAGGATACTGTTTCCTGCATTTGCCGCAGGGATAAATAATAGCATGTAGGCACACGCAGACTGCAGAAGCCAAGTGAAGGCTGTCTTTTAAGACACCTCATTTTGCCTAGGAGTAAAGAATTTCTAAAGGGATGCTTGTGAGAAATCAATTCAGTATGTTCTTACATAAAAATAAAAAGTAAACCATGCTCATACAGTCCAGTACCAGGAAATAAAGTTAATTTTTGCATGTTACTGGTATTTTTCACTTGCCCAGAAAACTCCACAGAAACACTTAGATTGTGAAAATGGGAATGAAACACGTTTTCCAAGATTAAAATAAAATGGGATTACTATGTACACCTTATTGACAAGACATTGAGACTGCAGGTGGGGAAACTTTATTATGTCCAGTCTTACAGCTTTATAAAATATAGAGTACAAAAAAGAGTACCTACTGGCTTTCTGATGCATGCTTGCTTTTTTTCTTTTTTTCCCCTCTCCTAGTTTTAGGCAAGGTTTGAAAACTCTTGGTGTCCTAGAGAAAATGCAAATGCATCCGGATGCATTTGCTAGTTTATTGTGCCACGAACCTGAAAGACTTTCAGCAGAAACTATTTGTGATCTCTTTACGATCCATTCTTCATCAGATGTAAATAAAGTTGAAGGTGCTGATTTTTGGATGGGTTATTTGCAAGATGTGGAAAGTAAGTAATTTTTTTTTCTTTTCCCCCTTCCCTGTTTGAGGGTATTTAGTAGCTGGTGTATGTACAGAGTGTGGTTTTTTAGAGTTCAGTGAGGTAAATAAATGAAGGTTTTGAGGTCACTGTCTTTTCCTGATTGTTCCTTCTTCCCCCTCTTCCTTACTTACAATCTCTGAAACTGTTGCCCAATTGTAATCAAACTTGAGAGGAGTAAATATCTGAAAGATAGGTACTAGAACTCCTGTGAGGTTTGTTTGGGTTTAAAAAACAAACAAAACAACACACAAAAAAAAACCCAAAACAAAAACAAAAAAAAACCAACCCACAACAAACAAACAAAAACCCAAGGAAAAAAACAAAAAAGAAAACCCTGAGTGATACAGAAAAATCCTTTAATTCCCTCTCTTTGGCTTTGCTGTGAACTTACTAGATAGTGTGTCTCAAAGACAGAAAACAGTGGTCTCTTCTTTCAGAAAAGTGGGGTTTTTTTTTCTATTCACTTAAAATTTTTCAGAACTAAGCCAAGGGGGTTTTTCTTGCTAAAAATCTTTCTTATTTGGTCATATAACTGCATATTCATTCAGCATATTGATCTGGGGTTTCCTGATTTCAGGGTTCGTGGGTTGTTTTTTTTTTCCCCCCTCTAACACTTAACATGCAAGTAATGGTTTATAGGTAATAGGCAATGAATGGTACAACCTAAATGTATTTTTTTTTTTGTTAGGTGGTGAGTCTGTAGTGACATTGGAGGATATTCTGCTCTTTGTAACAGGCTCCCTTTCTATACCACCCATTGGTTTTGATCCTAAACCTACTATTAAATTTTTGCATATAAGGTATCCTGTTGGAAACAGACTCCTGAATTGCTTAGAGCTCCCTATAACAAAGACATACGAGCAGTTTAAAAATAAAATGGAGTTCACCATCAGAAACACACTAAATGTTGAAAGAGAATAAATATTTTTGCTACTAAACCGGAAGTTGGAGGCTTCATTTTTCTACAGGAATGTCTGCTTGGGAATCGCTACTGTATTTTTGGACAGCATGCTCCTGGCCTTTTCTCACTTTTCCCCTGAAGATATGCTAAAAGTAGTAATCTCGTAAGATGGAAAACAATTTTTAAATGAAAATACACGTTATCTGATAAATCGTTTTTCTGTTTGAAGTAGGCTTTAAGAGTCAGCAATTTCTTGCAGAAGTACTTTAAATGTCTACTTTTGCTGTAGGCACGTATGAAACATTGTCAAACTCTGTAACACTCTAGCTATTTCCCACAGGTAAGTATGTTGACTGTGTTATGTTCTTCAGTAACTTATTTATCAAAGTAAAATCAGGTACATTTTGAGGATAACTGCTGTAGAGCTTTGAAGTAAAACTGTGATGCAGTTCTTTCATTGTTCCATGTATATTTTTTCAGTAGGCTTTTTTGTGTTGATTCATTTATGTTTTGATGATTCATACAAACCTATGAAAGTTAGGAGACTCGGAGTTTCAAGGTCGTTGTGATTAGTGCATTAAAATATAGTTAAGATCTGGAGAAAACCTAGGCAAAATAATAAGGTGCAAGAACAAAATCTGGTTGAACTTTGACATTTGCACATGTTTCTGCATTCTACTGTTAGTTTTTAATTATACATATAGCCAAAATAGTAAAAACTAGATGTAAATCTTGATTATGCAACAAAAAGTGGTTTTTCAAAATTAAATACAAGAGTTAGACTTGAAGTTGTTGAGTATGAAAGTATAAGAATTTGTTGCTCAAACTTCAACTGTATAAAACATTTTTCAGTTCTGCAGTATTTGTATAAATATCATTACGCCATAAAAGATAAATAGTGAAATTCCTACACAGTAACACTTTAATGTTCCTATTACTAAAATGAAACTAAAAGGACATTTAAGTACATTTTTTTAAATGTATGCAGGTCTCTTTTGAAATTACTATTTCCCCCCTGTCAGTTTGACCACCTGTACTATGTCCCAAATATAATAGGTTGTGCTGCAGATGTATATACAAAGGTGTGTATATATATATATATATGTATATATCCACATTCTTCAAAATACTGAAAAGTAATTATACACTTTTGTATGAATATAGCTTGTTTCTAATTGAAAATACAAGCAGGATTGCTTTACTTTTGAATGCCTCAGTGAGACAGTACATCCACAGTAAATTATAAATGAATAGGTGCTTTAAAAAAAAAAACTAATCTGGTTTCAGGTTTTGGTTTATGGTTCACTGCAAGTATTCCTCTAATGAAGAAATTGTATTACTAAATGCTAATTATGTATCAGTGTACTGCAACTCAAAAACTATGGAAGTGGTAGTCAAGACTCACTAAATTTGAGACCATGCTATAAAGGGTTAAAGACAAAGACACAGATGGATATTTAAATTACACAGTTCATTTAACGATATGCAGATATTTTGAAATATTTTGTAAACTTCTACAGCTTTTGTTTCTTGCTTGATCGTGGGAGAGATGCTGATCTTTTTTCACACAAACCTATTTCCATCACTGGGTAAACAAAAGTGTGCATGCCACTTTTTAATTTTTTTATTATTATTTCAAAGTCTCCAAGTAAATTGTTGCCAGGCTTAGATCAGGTATTTCTCACTACTTTAAAATAGTGAAAACAATCTACTCTCATGAAAGTCCTGTCATTAGAAATTTAAGAATATTTGAAATTAAGACAGGGCTAGTGGTGTTTTTCTGGTTGTGAGCCAAAAGCATATTCAAGTCCCCTTTAAAATAAATGTATGAGCTCTTGGAGAAGGTTATTTGACTTGTTTATATACTAAGCATTTTCTTATTCTCTTCTGATTTTTTTTTTCTCCAATAATATTCCATATTTGTCATCTTGGAATAATTTTTGAATGTCATACTGCCAGTAACTTCTTTATATTCTTACCCTTCAGAATGGTCTGTTACCATTATAAGGAAGGTGGTTTGTTGCAAACTTATTTCCATAATAAGAATTCATGTGGTATGTTTGTATTTTTATAATACAGAAGTGAGTTTCCTGCAGATAGAGTATTATGCTTTAAAAATGAGGGGTGGACCCAGTGGAGTATTCTTTTTTCTTGCCTAGTTAGAGGTAAATATCTTTTGTAATATGTTATTTTTCTGTACGGGCAGTACAGAACTTGTAGAAGTAGCAAGCAGAACATGACTAATTTTAAAGGACAACTCTTGGACTTTTGGTACCAGAAGTGGCAAGGGAAATGGTTTAGAACTTGGAACTAAATAAATTGCATTTTAAAACATTCAGTGGAGAAAGAAATAATAAGGTAATGTGAATATATGGCTTCAAAGAGTGTCTGAGATAAAAATAGGGTTCACACCTCGTATTGCTTATTAGTTTTGAATTCAGCAGTTGATAGTTTTTAAAGTTAATTTGAGACTTCTCTTACAGCTGACAAGTAGGTTTTATATAAAGGTAAAACCAACTTATCTGCTATACAGTACTATATCAAAATATGGAATTTGTAAAATCCTCTAGTCTAATAATGCTTGAAAGATTTTTTTTCTTACACAGAACTTGTTCCCAATTTCTTATACTGATGCGTACACATTCAGGACAAGTTGTCTTTTCCTTTCTTGTTGGTTTGATCAGCTCTATCTAGACATTCTAGTACAATCCTTGATGTATTCAAGTTGTATTCCTACATGCTACTGTGGAGAGGAACTTTCACTTCTGCTTATTTTCAGGATTTATTTATATAGACCTATCTTAAATTTACTTTAACTGTTCTTTAAAATTCCGTTGAATAAGCCGACTTCCAATCCGTCAAAACACTGAAAGATCTCTCTCGTCTGGAAACTAAGAGAAATTTCTGTAGCTATAATGACCGTCAGGTTTTTAATTGCTAGAGCCAGGTCACTGAAGTGCAATTTTATCGGGTAGTTTTCATTTTACATAAATTTTAACCTGAGGCACATCTAGAAATAGGGGAAGTCGCTTGTTTTCAGTATTTTTGTAACAAGGAGAATAATAGCATATACATTAGCTATTGCGTATTAAATATATTTTTATAGAAGTTACATCTTTTATAAGATTTGTCAGGGCCACAAGAGAACTATTGCAGTCCTCTTTGACTATGTTTGGCCAAAGAACTTCAGGTCACCCTAAGTTTCCGTCTGGAATAAGCACATCAAATAAGTTGGCTGTTTCCTAGAGTGATCATTTGTCTAAATCATTGTGTGCTGTAGCTTTGACTTTTTTCATTAAGATGTTCAGTCTTGGGACTGGAAGACTTGAGGATTTTGAGCACTATATTTAAAATGTAGAGCAGAGTATTAGTTATAAATTCACACTCACGTTCTGCATGTGCATTTTGAAAACAGTATCAAAAATTATTCATTCAAATAAAAGGAATTGCCACTCTGGAGGCTACAAAATATGCTTTCTAAGTTTATCTTGAGTCTGTATTATATGGTAAAGAATTTAAAGCTCAAGCTTTACTATTTTGTACTTAAGAAAGGGAATTACTACTTGGATAAAAGAAAAATTAAAATGCAAAAACTTGTGAAATGTTAAGTCATGTATACAGAAGATCGTCAAAATACTAATGTTTGTAAAAAAAATAAAAATAAAAACAAAACAACCACTGCAACCCTCTGATTTTGTATTGCATAAACGATGTTCTTTGAAAACTTTTGATAATGAGAATATTATGCAAGAGAGTATAATTTTGTAAATACTTTTAGCTCTAACTTGGAACTGCAGGATCAGTGTCTGCAATGTTGCGTCTTCAGGCAACATGATACTTGACAGCTGTAGCATCAGTATTGAAATAATCAGTGATTGTGGAAAATAACTCTCCGTGTGTATGTTCAAAGTGCAATAAAGGGTTACATTTTTGTTGTTGACATAAATAGACTTTCTTCAGTGTGGTTATTTTGGTGTTTTAATGTGTTTTAGCTCTAGAAGTGTTACCATCGTTTTCTGTAGGTTCATCTGTGCGCCTATGTACACCTGTCTATACATCCATGGCACGTTTTCCCGGATAGCTTTGTGTCCAACACCGAGTCGGGGCCAGCGGGGCTCTTCCCGCTGTGGGATTTCTGTAAGAGCGCGGCTGTGCCGGCGCGGAGAGC